AGGTATAAGCTTGCGAGATATATATATATATATATATATATATATATATATATATATATATATATATATATATATATATATATATATATATGAGGATATTGATATGGTATTTTCATAATGACCTTTGCAAGTTTTTAATCTTCCAACGAAAGAGAAACATATGTACTCAATTTGATGAGTTATTATTTTTTTTAAGAAAAAGAAGAATAAATTGGTGATAAAAGGGAAAACATATAATTCAACATAGCAGTCGTGCTCTGGCACAGCTTATCAACTTAATTGCTGATATAGGAAAATACAAACCCACCAAAATTTCTGTCTAGAATATCTCTCTTCCTCTTTTACATATCCACTTGATTGGTAATATAGTAATATTTTATGATTTACACAACGAAAAAAAATTACTCTAAAGAGAATCAAGGTGGCAAGAGTGGCATGTCTAACATGGCATGAGATACACTACACATTGATTTCTCCATTTGTTTCTTTTAATTTTAGTGGACACTACGATACATTACATAACATTGTATAGTATTCAACACATCATCTCCCATCATGTAGACCTCTCCGTGGACTTGTGACATCACTGTATGATTCGTTTAATAAGAGTAAAAAAAAGTAATTTTCATGCCAAAGACAAAAAAAATAAATGTAGGAGACGAAAAGTCAAGCGGCATGCATACCACATGATGTCATGATCATCAGAATGGAATTTCGAGTAATAGTTGTGGAATTCTAGTGACCGATGCACGCATGCAGTGAGAGAGTTGGCCAATAATATTGATCCGTATCACCTATAAAAATACCTTATCTCTTTGCTCAACTACCATGTGACACAAAACACTATTTGCCTTCGTCGTGCTGTATGTTGCACTTATGGCATCTCAGCTTCACAAAACTTTGCTTTGTGCCACTTTGCTGCTGCTGCTGCTCTTGCTTCCGCGTGCTCCTCTTGTCAAAGCTTCACTCGGATCCCAAGGGAGTGCGTTGCTCCACTGGAAAGCCACTCTTAGGAGTCCTCAATCCCTGAGATCTTGGAATCTCAATTCTAGTCCATGCAATTGGACCGGAATTGCATGCAATTACACCGTCACAGGTAGAGAGCGTTCGGTGATCATCGAGATATCCCTGCCGAGCATGGGCTTGGCAGGGCCACTTGATGCTCTTGATTTCTCGGCATTAGGATCGCTCCTCTATCTTGATCTCTCATACAACCAGCTCGGTGGGATAATTCCTCCAGCCATCTCGGCTCTCTTCAGGCTCGTATCTCTTGATCTAACTAGCAATCAATTCACAGGCAAAATCCCAATTGAGATAGGTTTCATGAAGGATATCCAGTTCTTGAGTCTTGACCAGAATAAAATGATTGGTACTATACCTCCATCGTTGAGCAACCTCACCGGTCTTGTGCACTTGGACCTAGGCGATAATAAGTTTGTGGGTGTCATTCCTAAGGAGTTAGGGAGGCTCCACAACTTGATGTATCTGGATCTTGGGTTCAATAGCCTATCTAGTTCGATCCCTTCCATTCTAGGAAATTTGACAAAGCTTGACCACATGGATCTCTACAAAAATCAATTGATTGGAGTCGTCCCTCGAGAATTAAAAAATCTAGTTAATCTCATCTACTTAGATATCTCTTATAATTATCTAATAGGTGGAGTTCTTTCTTCTTTCAAAAATTTAACCAAGCTAGAATCATTTTTTCTATGGGGAAATCAGCTCACGGGTCCTATCCCTTTTGAGATTGGAAATCTCATCGAGATTATCTTTCTCGACTTCTCAGAAAATCTATTAACAGGTTCAATTCCTTTTTCTATAGGAAATATGACTAAATTAAAAATTCTTCATCTTTGGAGTAATCAATTGTCTGGACCTTTGCCTATAGAGATCAACAACAATACTGGACTGACATACCTAAAGCTGTCAAATAATAGCTTCGTCGGTTATGTACCCCCAAACATATGCAAAGGTGGAGTCCTAAAGGACCTCACTCTTGATACGAATAACTTCCAAGGTCCCATTCCCAATACTTTGAAAAACTGTACGACACTAGAAAGGGTGCGTCTTGAACACAACCAACTCACCGGAGATGTATCTCAATGTCTTGGAGTGTATCCACATCTTTATTATATGGATTTGAGCTTCAATCAACTCTCCGGTACACTCTCACCAGACTGGGCAAGATGGCACAATCTGACGCTCTTCATAATCTCAAATAACAACATCACCGGAGTCATACCCACCGAGTTTGGGCAGTTGAAGAATCTGCAAGAGCTGGACCTCTCTTCCAACTACCTACAAGGAGAGATCCCAAAGAGCTTCGGCAGCTTAACCCTTCTCTACAATCTGAGCTTGAGCAACAACCAACTCGTCGGTCAGGTGCCTCTGGAGTTTGGAATGCTGTCCAATCTTCGACTGCTTGATCTCTCATCCAATAACTTGGCAGGAAGAATCCCAGATCAATTAGGCGACTGCACGAACCTCGGATCGTTGAAGCTTAACAACAACAACTTCGGTGGAACCATTCCTTTGGCCATTAGTAATCTGGTGTACCTTCAAGACACCTTTGACATCAGCCAGAACTCACTAACAGGGGAGATTCCATCCCAACTCAGCAAATTGGTGATGCTGCAAAGCCTGAATCTATCGCATAATTCCTTGTCGGGTCATCTTCCATCTTCGCTAACGTATATGACGAGCTTGTCTACCGTAGATGTATCCTACAATGAACTGGACGGCCCTGTTCCTGATAGCCCAGCTTTCCGAAGAGCCCCAGCGGAGTGGTTTGCCCATAACATTGATCTATGTGGAGTTGTTCGAGGATTGCCTCCATGTGTTTCACCCGGTACTCCAACAAGGAATGCCTCCATGGTTGTAATAACCATCATTGCTTCCGTTGTCTTCTTCCTTCTCTTGTTTATATTCATTGCAGCTGCTTTACGATTCCACAAGAGAAAGAAGCCGCCAGTACCTGTCGATGATAATCACCTCAAAGAAGGTGCATTCTCTATATTGAATTTTGATGGAAGAGATGTATACAAGGACATCATCGAAGCCACCGAAGATTTCGATGCCAAATACTGTATCGGAAGCGGTGCATACGGCAGTGTCTACAGAGCAGAGTTAGCAAGTGGGGAACTGCTAGCGGTGAAGAAGATTCACCTACCAGACACTGAAGGTACATGCGACGAGCAACCCTTTCAAACTGAGATACAAACTCTTACTCAAATTCGACATCGCAATATCGTCAAGCTTTACGGGTTCTGCTCCTCTCCCCGACGCAAATTTCTGGTGTACGAGTACATGGAGAGAGGAAGTCTGGGATCTGTCCTCCGAAGCGACACTGCAGCTGAATTGGACTGGGTGAAGAGGTTGAGCATCGTGAAGGATGTTGCTCGTGCTCTGTTCTACATGCATCATGACTGCACACCGCCTATCGTTCATCGAGATATTACCAGCAACAACATCCTACTTGATTCCGAATTCAACGCTTGTGTTTCCGACTTTGGAATTGCTCGACTACTGAATCCGGATTCATCAAATTGGACCATGCTTGCAGGCACACGGGGTTACTTAGCACCAGGTAAGTTTCTCTCTCTCTTCTAGTAGTTTGTGTAAATTAAGAATATCTGCAATTGAGAACATCTTCAAATTATATCTTGGAGGAGATCTCTATGGATTGGCGGTTTGATCATTGGCTCTTGTTGTCTGCAGAGCTTGCATATACAATGAGAGTGACCACCCAATGCGACGTGTACAGTTTCGGAGTGGTGACGCTGGAGTTGCTGATGGGAGAGTTTGGAGAAGTACTCATTTCCATTCTGTCGTCTTCACCGATCAACGATAGCTTTGTGAAAGATGCATTAGACCGACGCCTACCCGTTCCTGAGGGTCAAGTTGCGGATGAAGTAGTTGCAGTTTTGAGCTTGGCTCATCGTAGCGTGGACAACCACCCTGAATCACGCCCGACAATGAAACAGGTCTCCGAGAAGTTATGCGTGGTCAAGACACCCCCACCAAGCCTCCGATCTATTGATGCATTGAAGTTTTCCGACTTGATGAGCGTGGAGATATGATCTATATGCACTCCTCTGTGCCCCGATGCTTCTTTTGGTCAGGATCGGTAGACTTTGTTTCCGTGTGGCTTGCTTTATTAGTGGTTCCATTCTGCAGCGTGTTTAATAAAAGCATCGGTTGGTAATCGACCTCTTTTCTAAGATTATTTTCGACTGGGTTGGTAATCTTGGCCTTGTTATGTAGGAATTCATACGCAGCAACCAGCAGATTTGAATGTGTTGTGTGCTTTAGTGATTTCGTTACGTAATCAATAACTCATGCATCCATTAAATATTATCAAATGAAATCTCCTACACCATTTCCACGAATCAGAGCAATGAGCTTCCTATTCTCACGGTTTAGCATATGGGATTGGTATGCTGCTTAGAGTAATATTTAAAGCAATAGGAGGGAGGAATAGCGTTCGTATGATGCAATGCAATGCAATGGTTGTCTGATTCAGTGGCTCGAGACTACGCTGCTCTTGGAAACTACCAACTCCCTGTTTACTGCAAATATAAAATGATCATGTCGTCAAAGAGAAAAGGATAAGGGAAAAGAATGTGCACTATTAGCTCGTTTCATCGTTCGACATTAGAGATGAAGAGGAGCGTGACAGAGTTAGCGTCTCGAGCAATGGAATCTTTCTTCTCCCAGAAAGCTCTCCCCGGCCTTCTTCTCTTGCTTGTCTTCTCAGTTTCTCCGAAGCCGGCATCGACTTCGCTTGCATCTCAAGGTCGAGTGCTCCTCCAATGGAAAGCCAGCCTCCGAAGCCAACAATCACTCCGATCTTGGAACCTCAGCACCAGCCCATGCAGCTGGAGTGGCATAACCTGCAGCCTCCGGCGTCACAGGGTGATCACCGAAGTTAATCTGCCGAGCATGGGTTTGGATGGGCCACTCCACACTCTCAACTTCTCCGGCTTGCCATCACTGACCGGCCTCACTCTCATGTTCAACAGGCTCAGCGGGGAGATCCCTCCCAGCATCTTCACTCTCTCTGAGCTCATCTCTTTTGATGTCCAAGGAAACGACATCACGGGGACGATCCCAGCCAGGATCAGTTCTCTCACGAAGCTGAGATCCTTAAATCTCAGTGGAAATAAGATTAGTGGCTCCATCCCTCTTTCGTTAGGCAACATGACAAGCCTCGACTTCCTCATCCTGTCCGGAAATGGCTTCTCAGGAAGCATTCCTGAAGAAATAGGGGATCTCCAGAATCTCCAAGAGTTGGATCTCTCAGCGAACTTTCTCACGGGATCTATTCCTCAAAGCCTGGGTAATTTGTCTCGACTCTCCTTGTTGGATCTCTCTCTGAATCATTTATATGGATCCGTTCCTCCAACGTTGGGAAATCTCCAAAAGCTTCTTGTCTTGAGCATCTCCGATAATACTCTCACGGCTTCAATTCCTGCCAGTTTGGGTAACTTGACTAGGCTTATCAAGTTGAATCTTTGGGGTAATCACCTCTCTGGGCCCATCCCTCATGAAGTAGGGAATCTTGTCCGGATGACAAATCTAGTGCTTGCTCATAATAGTTTACTGGGTTCCATCCCCCTCTCCCTAAGAAATCTTTCGAAGCTTAGCACACTTTATCTCTTCAACAATCACATCTCTGGCACGATTCCTGCTGAATTAGGCAATCTTGTCGAGCTGAGAGACATAGATCTATCACATAATCTATTGACTGGTTTCATCCCTTCCACCCTGGGAAATCTAGCTAGACTAAGGAACCTGATCCTTTCTTATAATGAACTCTCCGGTCCCATCCCTTCTACTTTAGCTAACATGACCTCTCTGATACTATTAGACCTCAGCAATAACCAAATTTCCGGCTGCATCCCACCATCTTTTGCAAATCGAAGTCTAGAAGAACTATCAGTGATCAATAATAGTCTCTCCGGATCGGTCCCAAACCTTACGAAATTGGTTTCTCTGAAACTGGCATACAATGACCTCTCTGGGCATCTGCCACCAGATGTATGCAGAGGAGGAAAGCTTCAGCATTTCACCGTAGCCTATAACAAGTTTCACGGGCCGATACCAGAGAGCTTGAGAAACTGTTCAAGCTTAGTGCGGGTTCGATTGGACAGGAACAACCTCACCGGAGACCTCTTCGATCACTTTGGAGTCTATCCTAATATGAGATATATTGACTTGAGCTACAACAGGTTATCAGGAATGCTTTCACCGGAATGGGGAAGTTGCTCAAACTTGACGAGCTTAAGAATATCCAACAACAGATTAAATGGAACCATCCCATCTGAGATTGGGCAATCAACTCGGCTGGGAGCGCTGGACCTTTCTTCAAACCATTTAGTTGGCGAGCTTCCCAAGAACTTATGCAACTTGATCTCTCTTATAGAGCTGAACATAAGCAGCAACCAGATATCAGGAGAGCTTCCATCGGAGATCGGAAAACTACTCAAGCTGAAGAGACTGGATGTTTCAGGCAACAACTTCAGTGGGGTGATTCCGGAAGAAATAGGTGGATGCAAACTGCTAATATCAGTAGATATGAGCAACAATAGCTTCAGCGGAAGCATTCCTTACGAATTCGGTCAGCTGGTAGACCTTCAGGAACTGCTAGATCTGAGTCAGAACTCCTTTAGTGGTCATATTCCATCTCAATTAGGCCAGCTGACACTGCTGCAGATCCTCAACCTTTCCCACAATAATTTGGCAGGCCGTATCCCACCTTCTTTAATCAACATGGCAAGCTTGTCAGCCTTGGACGTATCTCACAATGAACTTGAAGGTCCTGTCCCCGATGGCCAGCTTTTCCGAAGGGCTCCAATGTCGTGGTTCACTGGAAACAGGGGCTTGTGCGATGTCGTTGCTGGTCTGCCTTCATGCAGTTCATCCCCAGCTAGAGAGACTCCCAACGTGATTCTTTTGACCGGTATGGCTGTCCTCGGAGCCTTACTTCTCTTCTTCCTCTTTGTTGGATTCGCAGCACGGCTGATGAAAAGAAGGAAGCAAATAGCAAATGCTTCAAGTCAAACGGGTGGAAGTGCGTTCTCCATATGGAATTTTGATGGGGGAGATGCATACGACGAGATCATAAAGGCAACCGAAAACTTCGATGATGAGTACTGCATTGGCAAGGGAGCATGTGGGAGTGTTTACAGAGCTACACTGTCAACCGGAGAAGTAGTAGCAGTGAAGAAACTACAGCAGCCAGATACCGAAATATCATGGCAGCATTTCCAGAACGAAGTACAAGCGCTGACTCAAGTCCGGCATCGAAATATCGTGAAGCTCTTCGGCTTCTGCTCCACTCCTCGGCACAAATTTCTTGTGTGCGAATACATGGGCAGAGGAAATTTAGCAGATAGCCTACAGGAAGATGCAACTGAGTTAGATTGGGTCAAGAGGGTCAGTATCATCAAGCATGTGGCGTGTGCTCTGTCTTATTTGCACCATGATCTTATTCCTCCCATCGTGCACCGAGACGTAACAAGCAACAACATCCTTCTCGATTCAGACTTCAAGGCTTGCCTATCGGACTTCGGAATAGCTAGAACCCTGAACCCTGCGGCTTCAAATTGGTGCTCGCTTGCTGGTACACGAGGATACATGGCACCAGGTAATTCGCCATCGGGTACTTCTCAGCAGCATCACCATATTATTCATGTTGATGATAGAATTTGCCGGCATGATAGATAGTATGATGACGTATTTCCATTTCTTCTCCTCGTAGAACTTGCTTATTCGATGAGGGTGACCGAGAAATGCGATGTATATAGCTTTGGAGTCGTGACCCTTGAGGTCCTACTGGGGAGACATCCAGGCGATCTTATCTCTAGCTATCATGATGAAGGTAACGCGATGAGAGAGATGCTCGACCCACGTCTTCCACTTCCTCCACCTGAAGTTTCAGGTGCAGTCTCTACGGTGGTCAAGATTTCACTCCGGTGCTTGCATAGCAATCCGGTGTGTCGTCCGACGATGCAGCATGTATCCAATGAGTTGTGTGCCATCAAGTAATCGGCTGCGAATGTTTGTCCATAGCTAATATAGCAACGTGTATATACAACCGCAAAGAACTGGAAGCAGAGCAATTCAACGCTCTGCTCATCTATCACAACGTTGGATTCACCAAACACCTTGTAATGCTCTGCTCTTCTTGTCATGTCGTATCTTAATTTTTTTCAGACAATAGCATAGCATTATCTGCAAAATAACTATATGAATCGATAATCGATGTAATAAGCAATAAATCACTATCTTCTACATCAATCGGTCATATCAATTTTCTAACTGATCTAATATTTTCTTGAGCATGTTCATATACTCTATCAATTTTCCGTCATTCTACATCCTCATTATCTTATATATCTTTCATTTAAAATATAATTTTTTAGCTTATATCTAATGCTTGGAACGGTACATCATTAATAATATTATCAACGAATGAAAAGATAAATAAGACATTTATAGAAAGGCAAATAGTCAAGATCTCTTTTTGTTCACATAACATGTTTAAATTATGCATAAGACAAAACCTAGTCGTGTAGATCACACTACCACAAAAGGACCATAACACTACATATAGAATATGTGCACAAGAAGGTGTTTGATGATGTTATCCAACAACATTCAATAAATCGATGGATCAATAATTCCATACTCTGATCAGAGAGGTAGCTGATGTCGACTCATTCATCTCTTTTGGAAGAAGAAATTGTTGAAGCCTGCCGAGGAGAGATGACGGAACGATGGTGATCGAGACCTAATTAATTAATTAATTAATTAATGTGTCGTGTAGTATTTCTGCACCTCTCTCTATCTCTTTTGATGTTTCATAACCTTGGGAGCATCCAACATTATGTATGTGTATACTAATGAGCTGTAAACGATGCTAATATAGTGGGGTACTCTTAAAAGGAGAGATTTTTTTTGTTGGTCTTCTTCTTGCATTGTGAATTCCTCGATCTCTGTGTTACATGTAGAATAATCCTCTCTCTATATATCCTTCTTTTAAGTAGATCTTTGATATGTTAATTTGGGAATTAGGTTTAACTTCAAATTTTAAATTATTTTATTAGGAGAAGAGAAATATATTTAAGATATTAGAAGACAATATGAGAAGAAAATATGAGCATCAAATGAAAATTTTAAAAATAAAATATTATCCGGAAAATCCAAAATAACATTTCAGATAGACTTTCTTGTGAGACTACTCGAATCACGAGAAAGGGTACGATGTAAAGAGATAGTATGGACCCACCGCTACAATTTAAAAACAGGGATGTTCATTAAGAATAAAAGGAAACGACAGAGTCATGTGATGTTTAAAGTCTCAAAAGTACCGAATGATATAAAAGTAGCGCAAAGATCCATGCCATAAGTTATTTCTTGACAAAATTAATTTATTTTATTTTATCCACTTACAGTAGCCATTCATATTACTTTCACCCATATCTATCCACTTATTTTTGGACCAACTAAATATATTTGGATAATTTTTATTAAAAAAATCTTGAGAAAATTTTAATTAACGTTCTCCTTTTATTTTTAATCCCGTAGTTTTTTTTTTATCTAAAAATGATATTACTCTTGAGCTTGAACCTTGCCTCTTATTTCTTATCTTTCTTTTTTTTATCGTCATCGTCATCCACGTTCTAACATTCCTCGATTGTAGTTTTTATGCTAAAATCAATAACGAGAATAACAGTTTCCATCCCACCCATACATCCTCAATATACTCGTCATCATCGTTTTACTATCTCCATTGTCTCCTTAGCGAAGAAGACTACATGTGAGGCCAAGAGTATTTAGTCTCCATACCCCTATGTTCGTTATCTCCATTATTGATGTTGGCAAAGAGGGTTACGAGCGAGGATAACAACAATGATAGAAAAAAAAAAAGATGCTCTATGAAAATTTAAAAAAAGTTAATCAAGAATTTTATCAAAATAAAAAGTTTTTTTTTTCAAAATCATCAAATATATTTTATTCACTTATAATACCAAAAAAAAATTCTAATTTTAATTTGTTGTAGGAAATGATAGATGTCATATAAAATTTGCATATGATATTTTGTGCATAGTTATATATATATATATAATAATAATAATAATATTTAAAAGGATGGTGGGTTTTAGTTGTCATGTTGTGAACTAAAGGGTGGTATACCTACAAGTTGACTTTTGGTATCAACAGTGATATGAAAGCATTCTTTTGGGTCATATCATAAAAAGACTTTAAACCTTTAATAGTTACGAAACGTCACATCAGATGAGAGAGTTATTGGGAGGAAATTATTTTTTTTACACGAAGAATTCACATTACTTTGAATTGATGAATAAATAAATAAATTTGATTAGCAACTCAAGGGAAAAAAAAAAGGTTTCTTGGGTCAAACTTATAATAAAAAAGTGAACAAAAAATAAATATTATGAAAAAAAAAGGTTGTGAAATATACCACTCAACAATGATGATAACGATAATTATAATAACGACAAGAATCTTATGAAAGGTAACATAAATAAAGGTAGAAGATTTAATTATTGATGTGGTAGCCTACACTTTTCAACCGAAAGACTTCTCCAATAAATAAAATCCTTTTGACTAACAAAAAAACTCCTTTTTTCTTTGTCTTTGATTCAGAATAAAAAAAGATCTCATAAATATTGTGACCAAAAAGAACGTTTGTATGGTATATAATTAAAAATTATATGAAACTATATAAATGTGACCTCTTGGTATTATTGATTATTTTTTTTTCTCTTTCTCCAGTTATATTCATCAATATATTGAGTTAAAATGCAAGCTCAATTTGCATCGAATCTCGTGCACTTATTCGTTCAATGCTAGTTTAGATTTGCAACTTGCACGAATCACGAGGCCACGCGCAGCCACTGATTGTGATCGATTCCGTGGGCTCCTCGGCTCGTGTTAGCCTTTTCCGCGCTCCCCATGCCTCGAATCACCAACCAGATCGAATCACCCCAGCCATTGCTACCTCCCTCAGTTGGTGCACGACTCGGTTCAGGCATTGACCCCACCAACCAACGAGCACAATCTCGGTTGGGGAGCCCACGGAAGTTAACCAATGGAAAATGACTACTACGTTTTTTTGTTGGACCTAGGGAGGCGCATCTCGCTCTCCACCCACAGGATCCGGTTCTCGACCAGGATACGCCGACTCGCGGTGCTTCAGCGAACCCGATGATCTCGCTAGCGTGAGTATGCCACGTGGTTCGCGAGAGTTCGGTTGATCCTGGACGCACATTGTTCGGCCACTCGGACAGCGACACGTTCAGAAATATGCTGTTCCCTGCTTAGTACCGGACACATGTTTGAACCCCGCACGGTTGCCGTCCCACACTCGTCGGAGGACATCGAAGAGACGCAAAACAAAGAAAGCGTCCTTCGCCATTTGTCCTCCGCCAGCGTTTCCTTTCGATTTTGCCCCTCTTCTGCTTCTTCGCTCTCGCTCTCCTCCTCTCCCGCTCTCTTTCTTTGTTCTTGAGGTCGCTGCATTCTTGCGATGACTCCCTCGTCGCGGCCTCCCGCCCCCTTCCCGGACCTCAACCTCATCCCCTTCCCCAAGCTCGAGCCCAAACCCGAGCCGCCAGACCACCACCAGACCCACCTCGGCTCGGCCGGCCCACTCGACCCCCTCCTCCCCCCTCCCAGTCCCGACCCTGGCCCCCATCCCACCGCCGTCGACGTCGAGAGCGCCGCCCTCTTCGCCGAGTACCTCCGCCTCGCCCGCCTCTTCTCCGCCGCATCCGCCGACCACCAACACCTCTTCCTCGTCCCAGAGCCGGCGCCCGCCGCCAGCTCCTCCGCCATCGTCGCCCGCAAGAAGCGCAAGCCCCGGTCAGCCGAGATGGTCCGCGCCTCCGTTTACGACGAGCTCCACGTCCGCGACGACGTCCGCCGGGCCCGGATCACGTTCAACTCCCTCCGCTCCCTCCTCCTCCGGGACGAGAAAAAAGGCGACGCCTTCGAGGCGATCTGGGGCAAGAGGTCCCGCGCCGACCTTAAGGCGGCCACCGTCATGGGCGACCGCGACCTCTGGCTCCACCGCGACAGGAGGATCATCGGCGCGATTCCCGGGATCAACGTCGGTGATGTCTTCTTCTTCCGCATGGAGCTCTGCGTTCTTGGCTTGCACGGCCAGAGCCAGGCTGGCATCGACTACGTCCCGGCTAGCCGGAGTGCTACAGGCGAGCCGATCGCCACCAGCATTATTGTATCCGGTGGCTACGAGGATGACGAGGATAGTGGGCTTGTGCTTGTCTACACTGGCCATGGTGGCCGCGGATCCAACATGCTCAAACATTGCACTGATCAGAAACTGGAAGGGGGAAATCTTGCGATGGAACGAAGCATGAATTATGGAATTGAAATTCGAGTCATTCGAGGGCTGAAGTCCAATCGTAGCCCCATCGGGAAGATTTATGTCTATGACGGCCTTTACAAGATCGTCAATTGCTGGATGGATGTAGGCAAATCAGGGTTCGGCATATATAAGTACAAGCTTTTGAGAATTGAAGGGCAGGATGAGATGGGCAGTGGGATCCTCAAGCTTGCTGAGGAATTGAAGGTGAATCCATTGAGTGCAAGGCCAGCCGGTTACTTGAGCCTCGATATCTCGATGGGAAAGGAAAATTTTTCAGTTTCCATGTTTAATGACATCGACGATGATCGGGAACCACTGCTTTTTGAGTATCTCGCCCGTCCAATTTTCCCCGTTGAAGCATTCCAAGGGAAGGCAAATGCTGATACAGGAAACGGATGTGAATGCATCTCGAATTGCTCAGCTGACTGCTACTGTGCCAAGAAAAATGGTGGTGAATTTGCATATGATGAAAATGGGATTCTGTTGAGGGGAAAGCCATTGATTTATGAGTGTGGCCCCTTGTGCCGGTGCCCGCCAAGTTGTCCCAATCGGGTGAGCCAGAAAGGGGTGAAGCATCAGTTGGAGGTGTTCAGGTCAAAAGAGACGGGGTGGGGAGTGAGATCACTGGATTTGATTCTGGCTGGGACATTTATTTGTGAGTTTAGCGGCATCGTGCTAACTCAGCAGCAAACCGATTTTTTTTCTGCAAATGGCCACTGTTTAGTGCATCCTAGCCAGTTTCCAGAAAGATGGAAGGAGTGGGGTGATGTTTCTGATATCTTACCAGATTACGTGTCACCAAACTTTCCATCCTTGCCCGGCCTGAACTTCTCCATAGATGTTTCAACATCAAGGAATGTAGCTTGTTATCTGAGCCATACTTGTTGCCCAAATGTGTTTGTGCAGTTTGTACTATTTGATCACAATAATGTCTCCTATCCTCATGTTATGATCTTTGCGATGGAGAACATACCTCCATTAAGGGAACTGAGTATTGATTATGGGATTGGAGATGAATCTGTGGGGAAACTAACAATGTAGCCATTTATTGTCATGAAGGTGATCAAGTTTGAAGTTGCAATGCTTCCTTTGAGAGCATGCCACCAATTGCCTCAAAAGTAACCGGCTGCTTACTGGTAAATTTTCTCAATAATGTATAGCATATTGGAACTTCTTTTTCTCTGTTCTTTCACAACTCTAGGGTAATTGCTTCATTGCTTAGCAAGTTGATGAATTATTATTCAAGTTTTACGATATGCACAAAAAATTTTACCTATCATGTTCTTCATGTGTATGCATAATTTAACTCTGTTATAAAAAATTTCAATGGCCTACATTATGTGCTATGTTAGAAAAAATTCTTTTGTCATGATACAATGATTCCATGCTTTCTTAATCTATGTTTCACGTTATTGATGTTTGTTTCTAGCAGATCAAGAGGTAGAGTTTAGGACCCACAAGAGGGAGTTCTCATACTCTATCTTAGAGTGCTCATTTGCATTGTGCATTTCTTGAAGTCTTTGGCATATCTGACCCTGCAGTAGTTTTATGATTTTATATAGTGAATGTATTTAAAGCTGAAGTTCAATTTGATATGATTACTTTTTACTGCTAATCATCTACCGAACCATTCAAATTATCTCAAGCATGACGGTGTCCAGTTGCCATGCTCGTATCAAACACAGAGTTGAAGATGGAAAACTTAGCAAGACCTTGATAGTGTTCATTCCAAGTACTGTCATATATTTGAACAAGGAAATGCAGATCTGTCCAGAGAGATACACAAAGAACAATGTTGACTTTTTTTCTCTCTCATATTAATATGTTTGCCTATACTTTCTGCAAGAATATAATCTATGAATTCTTTAAGGCAGTGGATGTCGTTATAATTTGTTTGAAATATATATTAAAAGTTCTGTGTCACCAGATGAGCATTCAATTACTTTTCTGCAGATACTCTAGTAAAATCTATACTGGTGTAGAAAGCATTCATCGTGTCTATGGTTGCAAAGATGGCATACTGAAGCATGATTAGTTATTAGTTCCAGCTAATCATCATATCTCATTGTTCATTGTAGTCACCAACTAGTGCACATTCAAATTGATACTTGGTTTATGAGATGGAATACCTTTCTGATTTGATCATTCAAGATATTAGCATTTGCAATTGAAGTGTAATATTTGTTAGATAACATCACACGCTCATTCGGTCCTCAATGGAATGATTTCACACTCATTCCATCGAACATGGACATCGCATTAATTATTTAGAAATCTCTCATGTTTAGCTTTGAAATCATTAGTTGCTGAATGTTTTCAAGTTTATGGTTATCTTTGTGTACCTCTCCTGGTAAAATGTCTGATCTGATGCTTGCAGGAGAAGAAAATACCACTATGCATAAATTATTATGGTGACAAAATGTCCCTGAAGGATCTGTTGCTCTCCTGAAGGAACAGGTGATGATGTTTTTATCCTTTCCACTCTGGTTCTTCTTCAATAACTGCTTTGACAGCAGCAGAAATCTGCAAGCATTTTTGTAAAGCATGAGAAGATGCACATATGCATAATGCAGCAAGAAGATCAAGTTTTGGATGTATCGGTGGAAACCGGAAGACTGTAGCATGCAAACCTTATAGTACTTAGCATTAGATGTTCTTTTGGGGAGCATCGTGTACATGTATGTGTAGCACAATTATACTGTGTGGTAGAAAGTGCAGCATGCTCATGTTCAATTGTTCTACTTGTGCACTTGGAAAAAGCTTTGGACAGCCCAAACGAGGCAGAATCACCAGCAGTGTTTACATTCTGCACTGGAGCAAATTAAAGGCGCAAGTCTAGAACTTTGAAGGCTGCGGATATGTTGCAGCCGAGACATTTGAAGGCTGCGGATATGTTGGCGAACTATTTGGGACAGCTTATCTATGTTTCCTGTGCATTACAATATTTCATAATATTGGCACCAATCGAAAGAGCTTTATGTCCGTGTCAACGACTAGTAACGCCACAACATCCGGTGTGGCCAACTCCCAAAGTATGTCTGGAGATCATATTATGTCAGTGTTGGGATTGGTAGATTAAATTAGTTTTGCAAGGTAGATTAAATTATTCATTACATCAACATCATATAAGGTTAATATCCTTCTGCTCACATGGATAGAAGTCTAAGAAGTAACTTGGGTTAGTTATCTGAGTTACCTTTTCTATAAAATATTTGTAGGAATACTCGGGTCAATTACGAATTATCTTTTTTAGTAGTGAAGTATTCTTGAATGTCTTAATTGTCTCTTTTATTAATGGAGTATTCTTAATGGAGTATTCTTGAAAGTTCAAGGGGGTAACTCAGGTCGATTTCGTAGGAATATTTTTGAAAGTCTATAGGATAGCTTCGGTCAAGTTTTGAATTGTCTCTCTTGCTGAATATTCATAGGAATATTTTTGAATGTCTAAAGGTAGCTCGGGTCGAATAGAAACTATCTTTCGTACAAAATATTCGTAGGAATATTTTTGAAAGTCTAGGGGTAGCTCGGGTCGAATATAAATTATCTTTCATATAAAATATTCGTAGGAATATTTTTGGTAGTTCAAGGGCCAACTCGGGTTAGTTACGAATTGCCTTCCTCGTAAAATCTTTATGGGATATTCTTTCTCCTCAAGATCAGTATAGAAATATAACTTTAACTCTAGATTGAAAGACCTCTATACTAACTTAAGTATCGAAAGAACCAACACGAAAAGGTATCCTCGACCTAACAAGTCTAGAGAGATTGCACTCTATTTTGGAGAACTCCTTGTATACGAATTAGTGCCATGTTATGCTAACGAAAACGTCATTAGATATCTTCTTAATGTAGTTGGCTTTAAAAGGTCATCAACGTCAAAGATCTTTTTATTTTTTTTAATGAAATGTATTTTTATTACATTAAATAGCATACATAACCTATCACATATACAATAATATATTTAATAATAAATTTAATTTAATACACAACAATGTACTAACCTATCTATCACTTCTGCAGTAATCAGGATTCAGAAAACCTTATCCAGGAAGGAGAAAAGTGAAGGCTAAACATGTTTATAGTTCAAGTATTTCGTCTAATATTGAGGTTGTTTACATGTACCACATGCACATAGACAATCATGTACAAAGTATACACTTCAATCTTACACATGTAAACACGCTCGGCAAGTTAATTGTGGCAAAATTGGAACAAGCATCAAGTAAATCCTGATAATTCATCGACGCAAAGTACCCAGTTAAAACCGTACTGGCAACCAAAATGGCTGGTTAACATGGAGGACATTGTTCGCCAAAGAGAGCAAAGTACCACATGAAATGAAAACCTTTCGATTTCAAGATACAACAAACGCCGGCGGATATAAAAGAAATAATGAAATCAAGCATGTCAATTGGTTAGAAGCAGCGAGTACAAATGTATTGACATTCAGCCTAAGAAAGAATATGCCAACAAATTTTAACAAATCGAACTGGCCACTGCCACCAAAGACTTCCGATATCGACTTCATAACAACTTTGAGCATCATGGAGTCTTCTGTCAACTCTCAAATTTCATCCAGATAGTGTTCACTGATTCTGACCCTTTCCCTTCTTGGACTTACTCTTCTCCTGCATCTTCTTCCTTTTCGCTGCGGGAGTAGTCCAACTATAGTCAGGTGGAATCACAAACGGGTCTTGTATGTCCTCCACACGGCTACTTGGTCCTGATGTGATCGAGTAATTTTGACGATATGGTGCCTTTATCCATTGAATCCAGGAGCTTGATGATGTCTGTGTTTGGGGACTATTGTTCCCAGGGCTAGTGGGAGGTGTTGAGAACTCTTCCAATGGCTGTAATTCTTCGAACTTGGTAAAAGTAACCAGGACGCGGATAGTAGGAACAACTGGAATTGCAACCTGAAAGAATTTATTGATTGCCTTAAACGATGCACAAGAGAATCATATAACCAAACATGTAACAAAATGCTACGAAGAAAACAGAACTTCTTAAGGAGAAGTTGCATGCCATTGCTACCATAACTGTTGCTGAATGGGTAAGTTTCAAACTACAGATAGGCAACTGACAGGAATTAAAATTAAGTTTGTCTTCTTTCTCTGCACAGCAATCAAAGAAGTCTCATCACATTCTCCTGAATCATTCTTTACAAAAGTTACACAAGCAATTACTTGCCAAAAATTTACTTAACATCCCAAAAATTCTGACCTGTCAGCAATAGGTTTCATTAATTATTTAGTTATTTGTAATAAGATAGTGAAAAGCATAAAAGCATATGAAACTCGAGAAATCCTGAGACAAACTCACAACGATATCAATCTGCAAATATAGTTTGGGCATATAGTATGGTTGCAAAATAACATTCTACTATCCGATCACTTAAATTGTTTTCTCCATTGTGACAGTTAATGATGCATCACAAGATGCCAGGTTTATTGAGTGATGTGCAAGTTTCTATAAATGTAAAAGTTCCAAAGCGAGCTTGTCTATAGCTGCTACACTCCTAGTGTTGAAAAACTGATGAATATGAAGAATCCACAAAAGGAAATGATATTTGGATGTTGTCCTTAACTATGACTTGGGATGATTAGAGGCGCATCTTCAGTAAGATGCCTAGATCACAACCAACAAAAGATCATATACTACATATCAGGTAACATATTACATTGGAAATAAGTCCTGGAATAAACATCCAATTCCACCTCAATATTCAGAAAAAGACGTACTCGCATAAAATGTGAACAAGAACCAAATTCTTTTTAGAGGAACTAAAAGAACCTCCAACTTTAGCATGTACAAAGGACTCTCCTATAGGAAAAGCTTTTCCCCTCACAACTTCCAGCGGACTGGATCAGCCCAAAAATAACAAATGAAAAATACAACAATTAAGCAAAGAATTGGTTGAAATATATTGATCAGGATACTTAATGTAATCTACACTAAGAAGGTATGCTGTATCTCTTTCAACTCCAATAATAGGATACAGCAACCACAGTAGCAATACCACTAGAAACCTAGAACCTCAAGTTACAGCTAGATAGATCCTCATGCACCACTTAGAGCTAATGTGAGACACATCCAAGATCAAGCAGTGGTTATTATGTCCTTGCTACTGTGTCTGTTCAAGTCTCCATTGCTTTTCCTCTTTCCTTTTTGGCACCTACAATTTGTGAACACTCGACTTTCTCTACTGGTGATATATTAGGACACTGACATCCTAGGCAATTTGAGCAGACTTGCCATGGTCACTATTCCAAGCATGTGCTGGATATAGATTAAAGTTGCAGATGGACATAGTAGACCAAACATGTCTAAGTTGGTATGTTAGTTAATGGCTTTAGAACAAAATTTACTAGGATTAGAAACAAAGGAATAAGCAGGGTTGTTTACAGAACTGATGTGACAGCATGGCAGATTATATCTTAGAAACACCATTACTGAAGATAAGACTGTTACTCCCACATAAAGTAATTTACAGTAAACCAGTGATGGAGTGGAAATCTAGCTCATGTGAATGAATCTGCACATAGCAAGTAACATAGATCTAAGAAGAGAGAGATTCTCACAACTATCAAAAGAGACCCATTTATAAGGGTAACATTGAAGACACAAATGTAAACAGTGATTAAACAGATATGCAACAATTGCAAATAAATCATTGCAATGCTCAAGTGACATGAGCATGTGAAGCCTGTAAACATAACAATGTGAGAAGAAATTGTAAAGTTTCCATAACTAACTAGTCTATGTTCCATACCTTTACTGGAAATGCTCCAGGAGGGAGCTTTGTCATAAGAAGATCCCTCAGACGACGAATTGCCTTGACCTTGTTCGCTAGAATATCAAGCAGCGGCAATAGCTCTTCCGTCCGAAGTGGAAAATCAGGAGAGAGCCACAGAACAGGCCTTAAACCTTTTCTGTATTCACTCTCTTTGCTGTTCTCTTTTCGTCTGTATCCATTTTCGGAGGTTGTTGCAGGTCTTTTGGAATCCCTATCTCTTCCCCTCCTATGATCTTCCATCCTGTTCACAACCTCTACCGAATGCCTTCCAGGCATACTCTGGTTCTGAGATGGAGAATCGCCCAGGAGATCACTCACCTTCTCCTCTGCACACAGTGAACTCCTTGGAGGCATAACCCTCTTCTGCCCATTATAATTGGCTCTCTTTCCCCAATTACCAAACCAACTTTTCCTATCTTGTCTACTCTCACCATTACTGCTACTACTAGCATCCTCAATCGGTATCTCCCTGGGCTCATAGCAACTATGCCGGCGAGCAACATGGACATCGGATTGGACTTGGTCGATCACCTCAGGGGATTCCATTTTGAGTGCTTTCTCCAATTGCTTCCGCTCCTCCTCCGTCAAGATGTCTTCGAAGTCTTCGCTCTCAGTCTCGTTGTCGTTGCAGGCCGAGAATAACTCCTCATCGGTCATCGCTCCCGGCACTCGCCTGGACTTGACGCTCACCACCACGTTATGCATATCGTAAACCTTTGCTTTCCACGGCCCGACCATTTCCGACCTCTCCTGCCTCCTCCACGTCAACTGCGGAAGTAGCACGGCTTGCGTGACGTCTATCCCCGGCCGGAAGATGTTCGTCTGGGACATCGCCTTGACTTCTTGGTGGACCTCTGCCTCGGTGGCCGGCGTGCCCGCTCCGTCCAAAGCGTTCATCACCTCCTTGTCCTTGTGAGAGATCATGCACAGGGATCCGGGCGGCACCTTCCCGTCCTCCGATCCGTCCCCGAGGAAGAGGATGCTCTGGTCGGAGCGCTGAATCCGGAAGCCGTCGAATCCGGCCAGCGTCATGTCGGCCCGTAGGTTCGACCCCCGCTTCCAGATCTTGTAAGTGTCGGAGGGGGCGATTCTGGAGATGAAGGGGATCACGGAGCTCTCGAAGTGGAAGGTGATCTCCATGTAGAAGTCCCGCATCCGGCGCATGGTGGCGACCACTCGCGGCAGCCGGCGGCACCACTTGGCCCAGGCAAGGGGCTGGTAGTGGCGGACGATGATCTTGGCGAGGTTCTCCTCGCCGGCGCAGATGGCCTCCTGGAGCGCACTCCAGCCCTGCTCGTTCTGGAGGCTCCAGTCGGCGCCCGCGGCCATGAGCATCTCGACGGCGGCGGCGTCGCCGAGGCGGACGGCGAGGTGGAGCGGGGTCTCTCGGTTGGGGACGTCGCGGCGGTCGATGACGGCGGAGATGGCGTCGGCCTTCTCCTCCTCCGCGACGGACGCCGCCTCCGTGCGGATGGCCGATGGGTCAACGAGGCGGGGCAGCGCCGCGAGCACGCGCTTGAGGCCGGCGTAGTCGCGGGCGAGCACGGCCCTGTGGGCCGGGCTGTGCGCGTACTTGATCAGATCCGTCCCGGCCATTCTTCCTCTCTCTCTCTCTCTTCTCGGTCTTCTTCTTTGCTCAAATTATTCAGCTTTCAAGAAAGCAGAAGCATCAAGAATGAGAGGAATTGACAGCAAACAAAACGTCTAATATCTCATTCTTCTTTTGTTCAGCTCAAATTTGGAAACTGCAACAACAGCAGATGGAACAACGAGGAGGTCCGATCTGAAGAAAACAGAGCAATCCAAGTGCATGTTGTTGGGCTTTACTACAAGAAGATAATATGTAATTTGTGTGTGCATTTATACCTGTGAACGAAAGAGATAAAGAAAGAGAGAAAGAAAGAGAATGAGAGAGAGAGAGAGAGGGATATAGAAAGCGGAATCAAAGGAAGGGATGGCGGAAGGAAGAGCACAGACGCAATCCAAAGTAAAGATGAGAAGAGAAGAAAAGAGAACAGGAAAGAGAAGGGAAAGCTCAGGAGACTCTCTCCTACTTTTCTTTTATCTATTTGCCTCCGCAGCAAGTGACGAAACACAAGTAGTTATGGATACAAAGAGTCCTCCACTCTTAAGAGAGAAAAGAAATGCATACCGAGAGATAGAGAGAGTAGCCTTATATATAGTATTTTTCTTTCCTTTTTCTTGGTGAGGTAGGGACGTCGGAGCGAGGGAGGGACGGAGGGAAGAGCAATTATTTTTTGTTATTTTTGGCGGTGGAGGAGGGACCCACGAGGGGTAATAGGACGCGTCGGTGAGATTTGGGCCGGGAGTGACCCGACCGTTTCATGAATCAGGGGAAGCTTTTGGAGCGAGAGAGGCGTCGATTGGAGGGTAGGGATGTGTTCATGATTGGCTTACTGCTGTTCCTGACGTCGATCTTTGGACTTGATAACGACGACGTGGCTAATTATTTGGTCTTCCCACTGAAATTAGGAGCCCCCTTGGTTACGTAATCCACCACAACATCATACAACATTATATGCTTCAAGAATCTACGTGGACACAGCTAGTAAATGTGGTAATTGATGATTTTTGCGAGGTGGTTGGCACATCCTCCATTTTGTTGATTGATCTTGAGAAATAATAAATGAAGTCATTAGGACTGGTTGCAGCTCATAATTGACAGGATCACATGAGCAGCACGAGCTATAAGTTCGTTGTGTTCCTGCAACAGAAGCACTCAATTTGTTAATCAATGACCATGTGATGGGCCAACCAAAGAAGAAACATGGGGGATTCGAGGGGCTAATAATTCCAACTATAGTAGAGTCTACTCCTTTTACTAAAGATTAGCCCCCTATTATGTTCACTTACCAACACATTCAAACATGATGCGTCGCCTTCTATTTTTCCCAATTTAAATCTAAGAAGGAACAGTTACTCCAAGAGTTGAGAATTTTCCATGGTAACCTGTTCGTATAACTTATCCACCGCTCGTTCTATAAAAACATATGGAAGATATTAATGTTGGGTAAGGATGTTTGGTGAAAAGTTCATGATCTCTTTTGTTGATAGAAAAGAACACGTTAGAACATGGAGTAGCCAAGGGACCACTAGCCTTATGAACAGACCTAGGCTGGGGACCCCCCATCGATCATATGGTTGGAGGATTGCTCTAGTGTAGGTAGGATCTTTTTGTCCTCACACGGGAGGGGGGAGGTGGATGCCCACCCTGAGAAGAAAGGGATGATAAAAGTTGTCACTGTTCTTGGGAATGGTGGTGAGACAGGACAGAGGACGGGGGTTGGGTTGTTGATTAGTCCACCCTCATTTTGGGGAGTCAAAGATGCCTCTGTTCCTCCCCCATGTTTGAATGCTCCGTATGTGCAACAATGTCCGTAATCTAAGAGTTCCAACTCGTATAGTATATTCAAGAGTAGGTATTGAGGCATGAAGTGCCAAATTGTGGTTCGTCCCCAGATTCAAAAGAATGCAGTGTCTCTTACTAGGATAGCTGGCTCTCTGGGACCGTGCTTGTCACATTGGGTTTAATGATTAGCATCTCATTCACTATAGATGAGCTACCCTTGTGTATACTTGGTGAGTGTTGGCGTACCTCCATCTCCAAGCGGTTGAAGTATCCCTGGCCACACGATACGCATTTCCTTTGCCCTTCCTGCTTGTGGTATAAGAAGACGACCATATCTGGGAATGAATGTTCAAAGACTCTCAAAAGAGATTTGCATGGTTACATGGTTGAATAACTGAGCAATAAAGGACAGCCATTAATTCTCCTGTAAGTAGAAGACAAAGTAAATTTCAATATCCAAGCTAGATAAACCAGAAAATTAATTACTGTAACCAATAAATAATCTAAGGAAACTCAAAAGAAAAAAAACTCCTCAATATTTTTTTTGGTCTTTGGCAGAAGATTGTGAACGAACACATTGGAAGTTCCTTATATTTGTCAAATATGGCAACATCATGTGCAGGAAAGAACAACAGCAAATGTAGGAGCTTACTATGGCTGCTGTAGTTCAAGATATAAAAATGCTAAGGGAAAAAATCTAAGGATATTGAATTTATCATCACCCAAACTGAGAAAATCTACAACATGTCCTAACGATGTTTTTGATGTACAGGTATCGTGAATGTTATTAGCCCCTGGTTCATGATAGGTAGTGAGGTGCTATGAAAGGAAGGATTAGCTGGTTAGTAGTCCTCGGGCAATAAATATGTCTACTTTATCTATTAGAAATCACATGTTTGGGCATGAAACAATATGATGATGCATCTAGTTTTCTCTTAAAAAAAAAAAATTCTAATGAAGACAGACAACATCACACAAATCTGTCCAGAAAACATCTCACTAGAACATTAACATTTCCTCAACTTTCTTGATCCCTAGTATTTGTATCAAATTATACAGCAGCATCATGAGGAATGAGTCCTGATAACTGGTAAAAGGTAAACAAAATAAGCTAAAGCTAAAGCCACATGAATTATGGACACTAATCATGGAATAAGGCAGCGAAAGGTTTGCATGTCTACAACAAAGTGCAAATCCATTATGAGATTTTCATTGCATAGAACCATGGATCCATCTAGTACAGTAATGTTTATAACTTCATACTACTGGTGGCACTTTTAAAGGCCCACCAGCCGAAGAACCTGCAACAATGTAAACACCAGACACCCGTGTCGTTGTTAATATCATAATCCTTAATTCTGACCACAGCGATTAAGAAAAGGCAATCAGTTTATAATTCCATTCATCCTTCTCCAAATTGAACTCTAACTTCAGATGTTTGATATAGATATAGTTGGCCCATTTAATCTGGAAACTCTAAAATCACAAAAGAAATGAGTTTTTTGCAACCATCAGAAAACCTATTTGTTGGTGAGGCCTCCATAAATGATTCTGCATATTGATTTATGATGAAAGAAATGTACATATTAAACTTTCGGAAAAGTTCCAATGAAACATCATCTATAACAAATCAACAAAATTTGAAAGGAAATGCCTTTGAACAATAAAAGCAGATTCCCATTTAGAGATTTAGGACTCTTGCCGAACCCTGAGCAGTTAAAACCCCAGATAATTTAGGCGGCCAAAAAGAATCTCAGATTCTGCATCTGAAAACTAAATCGAGCACATCAATGGTGGAAGTCTGTCAAGTTGGGACATCACGACGTTATTACCAGATCATACAGAACAATAAGAAATCTAATTTCACATCAGAAACTCGCATCTATGCAGATTATGTTGCAGAATTCAAGAGGTGGGGAGCAAGGCAAAGAGGGGCAAACGCTCTGAGAGAACTGGGAAAGGAGAGCGCGCGTCGTCGCCCTTTACTTGCCGTCCTTCGCAAGAATCCTTCGACGTGGTCGTCGTCTCGCCTCTCGCCGCCGCCTCAACAAAGTTCCTAATCTTTCCCGCCCACAAATCAACTCTCTAAACTGCGTGGCGATTTCATCGGTTAGGTCGAGTCCGAGTTGGGTTGCGTAGCCCAACCCTCATCCAATGTAATTGGGTTGAGACCAAAATCCAAAATAGAGAATGCTACAAGTGATTCTTCTTCTTATGATTTATTTATATCATAGAAAATGGAGGTAAATGTTTTGCAGCACCGGCACACACGCCAGACCATCACGTGTGGGACTCTTAATCACGTGTCTCTTCGATCCAAACAATGACTCCACCAATTCCATCAGTTTACGAACGTGCCATTTCTGTGGTCGTGTCAATGTTGGCCGCTTACAGAAATAACACGTGCCACATCCACAATAGAAGAATTTTTGGGACCGAGATGGACAGGTATCTCCCACTCAATTATGACTGTCTCATGGCATCAGAACGAACACGTATCTCACACAATCCACTTTCACAAAAAAATAAATGATACTCACCATTCAATATCCATAAAGAATATGTCATGCAAAATAAGACACCGTAAATTGACATGGAAAAGATATGTTTAATATATAAATGAAATGAATTCATGAGGAGCATTCCATATTAGACTTGTTCGATGCCGCCACTATGCTCCAATCCAATAAATTACTTAGTTGACATCATCACTATCTGTCATATTATGATATGAGTGACGAAGGCATCCAGATCGGTTTTGGAGCTTCCACCTTCCTCCATGGCTCGCCTTACTTCACCTCCCAACTCTCTCGCCCTCCGTCTCACCTCCTCCCCTTCCTTGCTAGCCATCAGCCGCTCGATCACGTCACTTATGGTCGCCGATGCCACCAGCTCCGCCCTCTTGTCCCAGTCGAGCACGTGGAACCCCACACGGAGGACGTCCGTCACCAGCACTGCGTTCCGGGGTTGGTCCGAATGCATCGGCCACGCCACGATCGGCACCCCCGCGCTGAAGCTCTCCATGCACGAGTTCCAACCGCAGTGGCTCATAAATCCGCCGGTCGACGGGTGAGCCAGGATCTCCGGCTGCGGCGCCCAGCCCCGCACCACCTTCCCCCTTCTCTCCACCCTTGTGTAGTAATCCAATGGCAGCTTCTCCTTTTCAACGGCGTCACCACCAGTCTCGGCATAGATGTCGGCCCTGTCGGCGTCCCTTAACACCCAAAGAAACCGCTGACCGCTAGCCTCGAGCCCCGCTGCGAGCTCAGCCACCTGCTCGTCGGAGAAGGTTGATGTGGTGCCAAAGGACACGTAAATGACGGAGGACGGCGGCTGCTGATCCAACCACTCGATGGACGGGTGCCGAGCGCCATTGCCGCTTGCTTGGTTGAAGGTGATCGGATTCAGTGGTCCAATGGCGAAGGTTTTCTTGTCCTGCCACTCCGGCTCTCGAGCCACCAGATCGATGAACATGCCTTCGATCGCGCGGCAACTGTTGATGAGGCGCCCGGAGTCGGCTACCGTCGTTTGCTGCTGGCTGAGGACGAAATCGCAGAACTGTTGCGATATGCAGTCCTCGTTGGATACATGAGGAAGCTCCAAAATCTCTACGGCAGGCTCGCGTGGTTTGCCGCGTAACTCCCAGCGGAAAAAGAAGCCAGCGATGGCTGATACGGTGTGGAAGCAGAAAGCTTCCACGTTGGGAAGGGAGGCAGCTGCACCGGCCGCAAAGGTCATCGAAGAGTCGTGGATGAGGACGACGCGGCGAGAGCGGGAAGCGAGGGAGCGTACGAGGTCGGCGAGTGGGGAGAGGAGGTGGCGGGCGGCGTCGAAGGCGGGCTGGAGGTGGCCGGGGAACTTGATGGCCGCGTCCGGTTCGGGAGCAGGGGATGAATAGTCTGGTAATGTGAAATCGTGGAAATGGATGGGGCGGCAGGCGGTACCGCCGTTGTGGAGGCGTGACGCGCGGTCTAGCACCTGGCGGTTGTGGGTGGCGGAGCCGACGTAGTGGATGGGGAGACCGCGGGCGGAGAGGAGACTGGAGAGGTGGAGGAACTGGTTGAGGTGACCTTGGGCAGGGAGTGGCACCATCACCACGGCCACGTCTAGTGTAATCGGTTCAGCTTTTGCTTTGCTTTCAGCCATGGCGTCGAGAAGGAGGCTTGTACGTTGGAAGCAATGGGAAATATCTCGCACGACGTAGTGGTTGGCGCCTCTCTCTCGCTCCTCTCTCTCTCTCTCTCTCTGTTTCTCCTTGCGTTGAGCATGTTTCTATATATATATAGATAGAAGAGAAAAGCTGGTTAGATTGGATCGAGGAGCTTATGATCTTTGGTTACTCAAAACTTTACATTACATGATACAAAGAATGTTGCACCACCAGTATGTGGCAGGCGTCCTGATGACGGTCACGTAAGCTTATCAAATAATTAATAGTTATAGATCATGTTCTTGTGAGTGCTGCATTTAATTTAAACATAATATTTAATCATTGATGCATTTTGCGTTCCTCTAGACTGACTAGATTGGCTCGCACGTTAATACGTAGTTGGCAGGATTGACTTTATACTTGTATTGTTTTGCTATGACATCATGCTAAATTATTCTTTTTGTTGTAAGATCGTGTGATAATTTTTTTGTTTCAATGGGATATGTGTTCGAAGAAGATAAGGATGAAATTCTAATAAGACGCCTTGATGCCGTCGAGCATGACACGGAAATTTCCGACGCATACTTGGATTTTGCGGATGAACTCGCACGAACAGAGAGGGCGATGGGACTGCTTTTGTGTGGCATGGCGTGGCTTTCATGCAGAACCAGTCGGACCTGACAACCTCCACGTTGCGTGTCGGCTGTCTTCTGCCAAAGCGCCAACCATGGACAGAAATTGGGAGGGCCACTCCAGCCGAAGGGCCCCGCACAATTACACACTGATACGGATATGGCAGACAGAGAGAGAGGTGTGGCACGTGATAGTAACATGCAAATCGAACAAGTCGTGCTTGACACCCGACTCGATTGATCTTGTCCTGCCGTCAGAGTTGATGCCCATCATTACGCCTCAATCTGTCAACCTGCTCGTGATGATCTATCTCGTCATCCGAAGAGTGAACGTATCAATTCTTAGAATAATTTGATTCTTTTATTACTCTCTCCGGTGTTATTAGCACCAAGCAAATCACCTCGATTCGTGGGAACGGCTTCGCCGTCTCCCGCCAAGAAGCTTTCCCTCGTCTGCCCCCGTATGCGTGCACACGGTGATTCGCCGTCGGCAAGTCCTATCGCGAATCTCCAGGACAGCGGTCGATCACAAGCACGGAGTCAAAGCGGGATGGTCATAGACCACGCCGGAATTTGAATGCACCACGTAGGGCAGGAAGCAGGCAGGTGAGACTGGTAGATCCGTGGAATGATGATGGGAAGCTGTGTTGAAGAGAGATGCTACTTACCGTGACCCAGTGAGGGAGTCCTGGTTGTGGCAATGGCAGGAGGTGGAAGGACCAGAGATTAAGTCATGAAATGCCCGCCCTTTCTGGTGCTGCTGGCAGTGTCCTTCTCTGTCTCTGCAACGTTTATGTCATGTACTATGACGTGGAACGGAGCACTGCCTTTTTGAAGGATGCACAAGCGGGTTGTAGTCGAGAAAACTGGCGTGAAACCCGTCTGTCTTCCTCGAGCTGGACCATGCACAACCACTGTTCCATATCCATATCAACAACTCTATTCGACCGGGTCATAACGTCGTCCCTTCCGACCAACAACGGTTAGGTTATATGATTTAAGATATATTATAAATTTAATTATAATGATCGATCGGAAAGATATTTTAATTATATTAGAATTCTTTAAAAGATAAAAGATGTTGAGAAAACTATCATAATTATTCATCTTGTATCCTCTACATCGATCTATAAAAGGAAAGACCTATAAAAGACTCAATATGAATATGCAGATATATAAATACGTGATATTATTGAGAAATTACATATCTTTTGTTATCTCTTCTTTGTCCATTATCTATATCTCATAGCAATCCTTTAAATGATAGTAAGAGAAGAGAATACGATTCTAGCTTATTTTTTTCTTATATAAATTCATGATGTATGCAGATCACCAAGCGTTGCTTCGTGATATCCCAGGTACCTTTTTTACTATCGTGTCTAAAAGGAACGCATATTTTGTCACATATCTACGATATTTGATTTCAAACCTAGAGTTAAATTTTTACATAATAATAATATTTCTCACAATTAGTTTCATATCTGTATTAATGAAATCTAAGTTATAGTAGATTATTAAAGAAACTAGATCTATTTTTGATATATTTGTGCGATCTATTTCTGATCCATTTGTACATTAGATCTATTTTGTATAAGATCTATTATTATTATTATCATTTTTTTTTTATGAAAAGATGTTTTTATTTCTGATCATGTGATGTTTGCCTCACATGATCTATTTGTTTTCATAAACAAAAACACAACTTCAAGGCTGTTGGTCCAAACCAATTATCGCATAAGGCCGAGCGATGTGGTGATGGTTGGTTGCATCGTGCACTGCACAGGCGATGCTGCTGCATGCGGCAAGGCTTTTGCAGGTGGTAGACAACACAGCGCGGGACACTGTTGCTAGGCGACGGCACACAGTGAAAGTGGCTGTTGCAGATAGCATAGCAAGGGGCGAGGGGCGAGGGGCAGCAGTGTTATGTTACTAGAATGGGCGGAAGCGAGCCGTTGATGTTGGAGTTGAAGGATGTCGTGGAAAGGAGTCGCGACGGATGAACGACAATCATTTGGGTCTCGCGGGAAGGAGTCCGGTGGAAAGGGGAAGCATTGCACCCTGACGATGATCTCTAAGGCAATCACTGTAGCACCACAGACAGCATGCAGGTTGCACACCGTAATGATGGTAGTGCCTTTCTTAGGCACTACAGCGATCGCTCCGCAACACAGCAGCGAACAGTTGTTCACTATGGTAGTCGCTCTGCAGTGCAGCAGTGGTGCTACTCAAACGGCGAGGGCACAACCACTTAATAGTAAGGAGGTCACACAGGGATAGGGCTGCGCAATTTGGGCAACCGCTTAAAGTGATATTTTTTTCATTCTATCCTTATAAATATCGGTATGATTTCTAGATTAATTGATTCTAAATGACTTGAGCGTATATAATTTACATTAGGTATGTAAAACCTTAATTAGATTAATTGAAATGATCACAAATTTAACTACTAAAAGTTCTAGAACAAATAATTAAGATAAATGATCAAAAAATTTTAAGAGACTTGATTTTATGATAATTATTAATAATATTTATAATTTATTATAGTGTACAACTAGTGTGCTAGAATATTTAATGATCAATTTAAATTTACGAACAAATCATTGAATGACATATTAATGAAAGAGTTGATCGAAATTTAGTATGATAGTATTTAAGAGATTCAAGATTATATCCTCAATATGATCGACAAACCTATCAGCTTAGAACAATAGACATGAATGTGGTTAAATCTTTTTTCGTATAATTTATTATTAATTTATTTCTTTTTACTTTGACTTATTTAAAAGTTATTATAATAAAATTAAGAATAAGTGAAACTTAAATGAGCTAACTAGTAAAAAAAATTAAGATAAAAGTAAATAATACTCATAATATTTTGGGTATTACTTAAAGAATATATAATAATAAAATAAAATTGAAGCGTAAATCACTTGAGTTTGTAAATACTATATAAACTCGTAAAAGGAAAATCTACATACTAAAGTGCTATTTCTATTGCAAAAAAGGTTATGTGAAGATAACTATAATATTTGATTTGAAAGGGAAATATATGAATCTAATATTTATAGGTTTTTTATCAAACGTTATATAAGTTATTTTCTAATATTTAATAGATTGATTTTGATACTTCAACATATGTTACGAATAATAAATATTTAACTTATCATGGAAACTAAAAGAGAATAAAATATTCATCATTACAAGAAATCATCGCTTATGCCTAGAGACAATTTATTTGATGGATCTTATGTTATGTTCCTACAATTTTATAAGTTTAACTTTTTTTACATAGAATTGTTAGGATATTATTTTTGCTTTAGTTGTTGTAAATTTAATATATTTATAATTCAATAAAAGTTAACTTTTGAATTTTGTATAATGAGAATTAATATAAATCTTGAGTTTACAATGATCCTATAATCAAATATTAGAATGAAATATAATTTCATGAACTCCTTGAGATTATATAAACTTACATCTACTGGTCACTCCATATTTCATATTTTAGTAGAGAAATATATACATATATAATTCATGTAAGGTCTCAAGTTATTGACATCTTCAAGTGTATATAAATTAAATCAAAAGACAATTAGAGAGAAATATTAAAATTATTATAATTCATGTAAGGTCTCAAGTTATTGACATCTTCAAGTGTATATAAATTAAATCAAAAGATAATTAGAGAGAAATATTAAAATTATTATAATTCATGTAAGGTCTCAAGTTATTGACATCTTCAAGTGTATATAAATTAAATCAAAAGACAATTAGAGAGAAATATTAAAATTATTAAATCCAATAGACGTGATAATTTTTGTTATAAATATGATGAATATAATCATAATTCTAGTTCTTTTATTGGATTACTAGAATCCGATTGGATTCTGAAATTTTGAAAATCATTTATACGTGAATGAATTTTAAAAATAAGCTAATAAGTCTAATAAATACAATAATACTATATTACATCTCATTAACAATGTGAATCATAACGATTATATGTTATCAATATCATGCTTCATTTTTATATACAACATTTTTTATGTACTACAATATTGTTACTCTTCTCTAATACAATCCAAAATGACACATAATTTATCTTGTCAACACAATTATGTTATTCACATTCAATCATAATATATACATACATAAATGTGAATAAGATAATAAAAATAAATAATATTAATTATATAAACAAGAATATTATATTATATCATGAACCATGATATAATATTCTTTTTTATAGAATACCTTATTATTTATAAAATATTTCATTTTAATCTAATCATTTTATTAAATCTATGATATTTAATTTTAATTTTAAATATTATATTTTTATATAATTATTTTATTTTTTACAACATAACAAAAAAAAAACCATCGCTTTCGGCTTGGATTGCAACCTCCTCCTCCGCTGGCGGAAAGCGGAGGCAGAGAGGAAGAACATGCAGAGAATTCTCACCTCGATGCGTTTATTCTCTGGTGGAGAACAAAGCCAAATGGAGACATATACATCAGACTCTCGTTAACTAAACCTGCAAACGCCAACTAGCTCTGACAAGAGGGTCCAAGTGCCCATCACCTTGGTTGCTGTCTCATGGTTGTGAACTCACTAAGAAGCCACAAAAAGAAACTGCAAGAGAAGGTAAGCTAGAAACAATAGTCAGCATCCATGGAACCATTGTGGGTTTGGTCTAAACATTCTTGGCTTTTATGATTAATCCATATATCATCAGTAAAGAATGTGAGCACGAAACCTTGCAATGGGTAGTCTTTACAATATCGCTCTACATCAGCAACGAAAAAACAGCTACTATATTCTCGATCCAGTTGCCACCACGTTCTGAAGACTGCAGCTACAGCAGGGTTTTGTATATTTGGCTATGGTAGAAGTCATTTGATCACAAAAACACAGGCGCCATGACCAAGGTGATGGTCGCCAGCATCTTAATGAGAACATGTAGCGAAGGACCAGCAGTATCTTTGAAGGGATCTCCAACTCTGCAGGTGTAAGAAACCCACTTCAGTACTTGGCTAAAAATGCATTGATTTTCCTAAATTCTATAACATACTATTTATCATTGTTTGCTAAAATGAGTATTACAGACCTGAACTATTATTTTTAACAAAGTTTATTTCTATTTCTTGCACCTAATAAAAAATGCATTGTAAGATCAGTAAAACTGCTTGAAGCACATCTCCCAAGCTAGTAACTTTGTTCCAATATTCAAAATCAACTCTTCTAGAACCACCAGGCCTCTTTAAACTGGGAAAATATAACCTTAACTAATGAAATATTGATCAAATCCTAAAACAATACTTGGTCCCAACTTAAATTTCTGATTTCACATGTTCTTCAATTGTCATCTTATATTCTTGTTTGCTATTTTTGAACTGTCTTCAAGTTTAAACGAAGATATGTTTCCTAAGACGTCTCAAGTTCCAACCTACAACCATTATAATCTTGGACAGTAATATAGAGTTTTGAAGTACAAATTGATAACATCTATAATAGCCATACATGCTGCAAGCAACAAATTAAAAAAAAAGTCAAAAACAACTGAAAGAAGCAAAAAACAGAAACTTAAAGCTCAATAACTTACGTATCGCCAGTTACAGCCGCTTTATGGCAGTCACTGCCTTTGCCTCCAAGTGCACCAGTCTCTATATATTTCTTGGCATTATCCCATGCACCTCCAGCAGTGTTAAGAAAGAGAGCCATAAGAATACCAGCCACTGTCGCAAACATAAGCATTGAAGCCACAACTTTGGCTCCAAGAAGTGGTCGACCAGTATAGTGGCCCAATAACCGAAAGATGAATCCTGCCAACCAAATAAAATGTCCTCCTCAAATCATGAACCATGGAGTTTAAACTTTCTTCTGGCCTCATAAACCATAATATGTAAAAACCAACAGAGATGCCCTACTTTTACAACACAAGACTCACCAATTACAACCGGAGATATAATTGCCAAAGCACCAGGCTTTATCATTTCTCTCAGTGATGCAGATGCCACAATGGCAACACAACGGCCATAATCTGGTTTTTCTTGGTATTCCTGGATGTGCACGTTATATTAGTATCATTATCAAAGTATGAAAATTTACATGGCATGACAAATCAGGTAACTGGGTTACTCACCATGATACCAGGCCTCTCAACAAATTGTCTACGGACTTCATTTACAACCTCTTGTGCAGTTCTTCCAACAGCAGAGCAGGCCCAGGCACTAAATAGAAATATAAGCATGGAACCTAATAAGCCTCCTATAAATACCTCTGGAATTGCAATATCAACCTAAAAATCCACCAGTGAAGATGTTCAGACAAAGATATCCGAAAAAATTATGATGCAAAATATATTTAAATGCATGAATTTGACCAGCAATTGTACCTCTTTAAAAGAAACATGAGCAAACGAAGCAACTTCATCCATATATGCACTGAAAAGAAGGAAGGAAGCAAGTGCAGCAGAACCAATAGCAAATCCTTTAGTAGTAGCTTTGGTAGTGTTACCTACAGCATCTAGAACATCTGTGATTTCCCGAACACTTTCAGGCTACAAACAAAGAAGTTGACATGTTAGAACACTCTAAATAAGGAAGCAAATGATTTAGTGCCCTTATGTCAGCATCACCTGGCCTATCTACCAAAATTTAACATTAATGGACAGATATTGATTTTACAAAAAGCACAAAAAAAGAATAGCATTCACATATGTCCAATCAACACATGAAATAATTTAATTATACTCATCAATGGTCCGTACCTGCTGACTCATCTCCACAATCCCACCAGCATTGTCAGCTATAGGACCAAACATATCCATGGTGAGAACATATGCAGCAGTGCTAAGCATTCCCATTGTTGCTACAGCTGTGCCAAACAAACCACCAGTTGGACTTCCAGTTTCATCTACCAGACCTGATGTATGTCCCAGCCAAAATGCACTGATAATAGCTATGCTTATTACTAGAACAGGAAGGGCTGTTGATTCCAGTCCCAAGCTAACACCAGCAATTATATTAGTTCCATGACCTGTAGCACTAGAAAGTGCTAAAACACGAACAGGCTCATGCTTGTAATCAGTGTAATACTTTGTGATCCAAACAAAGGCATATGCTGTCATTATTCCTACCAATCCGCATAAGGCAAAATTTAGCCAAGCAGAAGGTGCCTGTTCGGTGTAAAGGAGCCATCGAGTAGACTGTGAAAGATAAAAAAGAAAACATGTAAATAAAATGCTAATACTTCAGGATATTTCAATAGTCGAACAACCACTACACTAAATGCTAAAAGTAGCAAACTGGAAGTTCAAGTGAGTGTTAATAATGCATGTTAGGTAGGCATCTGTACAGTTAAGTTGCTTACCACACCAAATGTCAAAACAGCCAAAACAATCGTGACAGAATAGCCTTTCTGAAGTATAGCCATTGGGTCTTCAATAGGAACAATTAGCCCAGGATCACGTGTACCCCTGATTGACAGTATTCCAATGGATGATACCACCAAATCAAAAGAATGCACAACAAGAGGAAATAATATAAACCCAGATGGATCTGCATAGAAAAAAGAAACTTCATTTAGCATGAGGTTCATGTTAAGATTTGTGAGAAATGGAGTTTATAACGTCATAAATCAACAGAAATCTTATTCTATGGAAACAACTTTTGATTTGCAACTGAAATAAGTGGGCTAATCCAGAAATAATGGCATATAGCAAGCATCAGGCAAAACCATAATCCTATAATTAAGGCAAAACCTTAATCCCATCATCCAATATTGACGAAAAAAATAGAAAAAACCATGCAGCACTTACCTTGGTCTTGATAACTAATTTAATTCATTTTAAATTTTACAAAGATTACAATATAGAGCATCATGTAATCTAGAACCCTCAGTATGCATTATAACATCTAATCAGAAATGCAAGAAGATTCTAAATATCATAGAGAATATGAAACATATGATATGCAAAGCATGGATCAGAGAGAAAAACATTGCTGCATAATGACATGCTGTATGTTGACAAATTAAATGTGGATTGTGGAGGCAGTTCTGTAGGGTTGCAACAAAAATTGAATGAAACAAAAATTGACTTCTACTAAATATCATCTCTTGCCTTCAATTTTGCAGCGCTGAGCCATTGTTCCTCCAAGTATCATAGCACTGATTATCTCTGCTGCAATACTCTCAAATAGATCAGCACCTCGGGCAGCACAGTCCCCCACATTATCACCAACCTTTAAGTAAGCCCACCTTAGTTAAAATTTTAAAGGAAATAATTGCGAAGGAAAAGGATATAATACAAGAAACAGAATCACATTGTCAACCAGTCTATGAATGTCTTAGATGTAGAAAACATGTTTCTTAACAAAATAACACATGTTTTAGGTTAAATGTATGTAGAACAGAGAAGCATCAAAATAAAATCATTATTGACAAACTGTCTCTCCAGTAGGTGTTATTTTTGGACTTAATAGTCTCCTTCATCAGGAATTGTTGAATAATAAAAAAGGGAAGGCAAGCTTAGGTTGATCCCTTCTAAAAAGCCACACCTCTGAAAAACTTGCTTTGGTTTTTCAACCACCTCCCAAAACCAGTGAATCCCTACATCCTGTAAATTTTACAAACAAGTCCGTGGAATATATTACAAACATCCATAACATACAATGGCCAAAGTAGTTAAAGCTCTCTGAGTAAAGTATTTCGATGTGCTAAAGTTTCTATTGACTATTGGGATTTTCAATCAATGTTTCTAACTGATTTTATGTTTCTAAAACCATATAATTCTAAAGGCAGAACAATTATAAGAAAGTTCTCAAGTAGTGCACAAGAAAACAAGACTCAGAATTTTTTATTCCAATATTATTATTGCACCTTACCAGAGCTATGGTATTTTTCTTTAGATGTTTATCATGTTTCTGTACACTACAGTACTTGAATCAGAAGATGGACTAACAGTTATAATAATCATTTGGAAGAACATACTTTGAATTGAAGTTTATTCAAAACAAGGAATTCAATTTCATGAACCAGACCATACCGGTCCAGGCTTGGACAACTACGGGCCTGGTACGAGTTGATGTACTAACACATGCTATGCAAAAACATATCACAATATAAAAAGGGCCAAAAAACAAAAACAAAAAAAACTAATTTGGCATTCTTTCTCTTTTTTTTTCTTGGAAAATAAAATCAATATTGATAACAATAACCATAATGATTTCAATCTACAAAACAATAAATACTATATCCAAATATATATCCGATAAAGATCACAAGCAGTATCTAGCCTAGATATAGGCTAGATCATCAAAGGACAAAGTTAGATACGAATCTACAAGAAATGAGGCTTGATTAGTGTAAATCAAACCCTAAATTAGGTCTATATGGAATAGATCTACATCAAGATTGGAAAAGAAAGCATAAACCCTAACCTAATTACATGAAATTAGTCAATTACCTTAGAGATTAAGTTCAAATCTAACTTGATTCAAAGAGAAATCATACCAGATCTTGGGCTTGAATCTTCTTAAAGAGCAAATAGCCCTCTCTTGGATGTTCTTGAATGATTTTGTAAGAGAGTTGAAAGAGATTTAAGAGAGATTTAGAAGCAAATGAAAGTCAATGAGAGAGGGTGTATGAGAGGAAGACTAAAGAAGAGGATACGGGTCTCTTTGGCTGGGGTCACCACCGAATGGGCTTACCGCCCAGGCCTGATAACAGGTTACAGGGTTGTAACCTGCGTACCAGACCTGAACCACCCCGTTGAGCTTGGCTCACCTCCAGATAGTTGTCCGGACTGCTAATCCATGATTCAAAGTAATAAATGTTTTGAAACTCCAATTGCAAGACTTTTATTACTTTCATATTAGTGATGAAACTTGAAGACGCCTTTTAAATTCTTTTTACATGCCAATTTTGATGAATATTAAGTATTCACTTGTGGTGTCACTTAATTTCATGAATTCAAATAGATAATTCACTGTAGACCTGCTCCATTAGACAAATGAATTAGACATTATGCATTGATATTTAAAATTTTCTTTTATGAAAGAAAAGTAATTCTCATGATTCCAAAGTCATGGGAAAAAAGCTGCAAATAACATTTAACAACATGGAAATCTAAAGAATGTAAAAAGAGAACTACCAACTGATGTTCAAGCTAGAGATAAATAAAACAAAGGTATGATATACAAATTTATATCATAATGCAAGCAGCAAAACAACAATTCAAGTGGAAACTGATGTTGAATCACTGAATAATTCACATAATAAAAGAAGCACTCAGATAACGTTCAGAAAATAAGTAGCCAAGCATGACAAGTATTAAGTTATTGAAACTTGAAAGTACCAAGTCTGCAATAACAGCAGGATTTCGTGGATCATCTTCGGGTATTCCTTGCTCCACTTTCCCAACAAGATCAGCTCCAACATCAGCTGCTTTAGTATATATTCCACCACCCAGCTGAGCAAAAAGTGCAACAAACGAAGCACCAAAACCATATCCAACAAGAAGAAGAGGTACTGCATAAAATCATAGAACAGAAAGTCAGACTGTCATGAGCTAAATGAAATTGAATTTTTTATTGGAGCATATATTTTATTTTCCTGAATTCACCCTTGATCACTGCCTTTTTAGGCTTGTCTGGGTTCAAAAAATATGGAAGGTGTTTATTTTAGAAGTGGTAGTAGAGAAATTAGGACCTAGCCTCCTTATTTTGTGCCACATCAGAACTAATGCAACATTTGGAAGGAAAGAAAACCCTTTTCTCTGGGCCACATCAGAACTAGTGCAACATTTGGAAGGAAAGAACAGGAGGCCTTCTTTTTTAAAATCTAGAAGATACTAGATTGGTAGAAAGAAAAAGAATGCTAATTTGCATTTCAAAAACTGTTGTTAACTCTCTTATATTCTAACCTCTGCATCTTAGCAAGTTGATCCTTTGTGTAGAGCAAATGAGCGATGAGCTGATAGATCCATGGCAGGAAAGAATATTACTATTTTAAAGACAGGAGAAACACATATTAGTCTGACCAACAGTTACAGTGACAGTGATCAATCTACCTTTAAACGTATCCTAAATGACTAGTGACTTAAATTAAAGGCTAAAACTTCTAGATATCTCTCCTTAATTACTATCTTCAAAAGATAGTAAACAAGAATAAGCAGCATTTTCCTGTACTGACAGCATCTTCTCCCTCTCTTTGCATCTTTCCGATATCCTTCATCTACCTAAATTAATTGGCTTCTTAACCATAGAAAATATAGGACCATATTTTTTTAACAATACTGTTTCATTAGTTTCTACATTGCTCCCAAATCTTATATATTTCCACATAATAAAAGGATTTTAACTTGCAATGTCAAGGTTTCAAAAACTGGTTGTATGGTCGTTGTGGGATGGCATTTACTGGTCTTCTCATAAATCAATGCGCAGATCACCAGTTTTTGCCCGGTTTCAGTTCATACCAGGCCTACCATCCAATATGGTTATCTTACTGAGCTTATTGTCCAATTTTAATAATAAAAACAGGGCTACTAGTCAGGAAGCTTATTGCTCAATACTCCTTTTTTTTCTTTAATTTTTTACAGCTTTTGACAATTATATGTTTTTTCTTTTTCTTTCTTTCTCACCTCTCACACTTTCTTTCTCTCTCCCTTTCTTTCTCTCTTCCACGCATCTCTCTCTCTCCTCTTCTCCTCCCCCGTGTCTTTGTCCCTGTCAACAAGCTGCCACCATCTCCTCTTCGTCATGTCACCGTCACAGGCTCCTCCTCATAAGGGTCACCGCTTCATCCGCCACATTAGCGCACATCCACCGGTCCTCTTCTCCTTCTCCCCTCTTTTCTCCCTCTCTCACTATCCTGGACAGTTCCAACTCATACAGATTATGAGCATGTTGGTCCGTATTGAAACCCTAATGTTCCAACTTCCAACTGCCGACCAGTATTAACAATAAACCGATATTTTGTGCACATAATTCATCTAGTTAATACAATCCCTGTCAACAACATAATTGTTAAGATCAGATAGAACGAAATATATAATAGCTCTTCCTATATTTTGGTGATTCTAGATCAAACGGAAATTTACAGAAAACTAATACAGGAAACCTTAACATTAGAGTAAAAAGCATAAATGATTTTCCATTTGACGAACTCGAATGATTACAAACCATTAAATTGCGCTTATAAATACAAAATCAAGACAGAAAGTGGTGACATCTTAATTCTTTGAACAAGGTACCTAAAAGCACATAATTAAAAAAAAAGGTAATAAAAACATGTCAAATCAAAATCTTCCACCTGCAAATGATATTTTCAACAGAATAAACTCTGAGCTACAACAAAGAAGGATGATACATGTCAACATGGCTACAAAATTATGAAGATAAAAGAGGACAATCCAGTGGATGAGGTTCTGCCAATGCAGGAGCAAAATAGATGCAAATATAAACAGCCACAGCCTAACATGACATGCAAAGAATGCAAAGAAATAGTTTCTGACTCAAAACTCTTAACATCTAGATTGCAATAGCAACTTTCTCATGGTGCTGAAATATCAAAAATCAAACAAAACATGGTGTAAGACACTATACTTACACAATCATAGTAGAGTACAACATATTACAAGTATCTAACAATCCATAATGAAAATAGCATCACAATATAATCTATAGCTTTTAGAGCAAGTTTCTGCAAGTACTTACGATCTGTAACCTTCATTGAACCAGGAGAATCAACCTCTAGGAACACATAAAATGTTGCATATAGAACTGCAACACCTATTACAGCCATGCCTACAACAACAATTGCCGAGAAACCACCAGCACGAACAGCAATCTGCTATAAAACTAATTGTTCAATGTATAACTACAGTAAGAAAGTAACATACTAAGAGATGAAAAAGCATTTACGGAACCTGCAAGGCCTCTCGTGCAGAACGCCGTGCAGCACTGGAGACTCTAACATTTGCACGAACAGACACCCACATCCCAATATATCCTGCAATTCCTGAACATAAAGCTCCAAGAAGAAAGGCAGCAACCGTAATGTATGCAGATGTTGACCTAAATGTCAAATAACAAATAGAGTTGAGATAAAGAAAAGAATTAGAAAGTATGGCATGTCTTAGATGCAAATAAAGACATGAGATGGAGTGAAAAAGCACCTGGAGAGCCCAGATGATTCCTGTTGTGGAGTGGTACTACGAAATAGATATATACCAAGAATCACAAGTGCCAGCACCATTGCCATTTTAGAAATGGTTCCATATTGAGTCCTGAAGAAACCTTCAGCCCCATCTCGAATGGCTTCAGATATCTAAAGAATGAAGGAAAAGGTGAAAGAGATATAATAAGTTAGCAGGTAGAACATTAAACTGGAAATCTATAATAAGTCAAGAAAATACTATACATATAAAAAGACCTCAGGTACACTAAATTATATATATTAGTTACTCCTATTTTCTGGAGGACATGATAAATAATCAGTTAAAGAAAGCATTGTAATAAACACAATCTAAAATAGACACACAGTAAAAAAAGAATAGCTTTTTTATTCTCTTTCTGTGGAGCGAAAAAAAAAAGACATCCATAATGTTCTAGGTTGTGAAATGGTTATATGGGTAGAGGTACACCAATTAGCTTGGTTCATATTAGAAGGTGGGAAGGCTTGGTTAGTTCATCATTTAGAATCATGCTACATACAAAAAGATACTTATTTAGGCCGCTATCAATGTTAAATAAAACATTTTGATCTAACTAAATAATTAACCATGTACCTACTTGGAACAGTAACAATGGTAGTATTAAACATGAGAGGTATGAACGCGTTGCCCTTTCTACTCTGGAGTGCTTTTGTCATTTTGTACTTTTTCTTGAAGGATTTTAGAGTTTGTTAGTTCATGGCTGTAAAAACAAGTAGCTCTGAAGTCATTAGATGTCCAATTTTGACATTCTGAGTCGTGTGCCATAATAATAGAAGATGCAAATATATCATGAAGCAGCACAAGGAACCTGGATCAAGGTTCCAAGTGGGTAGAGGTATCATAAGATGAATACTACAAATCCATTAATCTCTATTTCATTATGTAAACAAAATAAAGGTAAAAGCATTAAACGACTGGAAATCAAATATAACAAAAAAAATAGCACGAGGAGTGGAAAGGTCATGCTCAAGGACTCTTGTTTAGGGAACCAAAAGTGAGAATTCACAAGATCAGTAGAAAGATATCGGGATTATCAAAGGCTTCAGAACTCAGGGGATTATTGCTATTGAAGCAACTGACATTTCTCCCACTCCAAATGCACCAGCTAGTGCCACAAAAAAGGACAATCGGACCTCTGTTTTATGGGTGATAGTGGCAGTGGTAGTGCATTCTATCTCCATATTATTAATAATTCCCCAATATTGGCCAGATGATATCAAACAATAAGTTTGGGAAGGAAAAAGATTATATAAAAGAAAAAAATCAATGGGCTGAGAAGAAACCACGATCAATTGTCTCAAGGTTATTGGAAAAGGAAACGAGAAAGAAAAATTGTCAGGGTTCTAAATATCACAGAGACCATGTATTATCGGTCTGGTCTGGTTCAGCCTCTTTCTCTTTTATTTTGGTTGGGGTTAAACCACACACGCACATTTTGGTTGGGGTTAAACCACACGTGCACACACACACTCTCTCTATCTAATATCTATCTCTTTCACACTCGTATCTCTTGCAATGTCCACCTCCCTAACAATGCCCACCCACCCGCATACTGCCTGCTTGGATACCTCTCCTCCTTCTCAGCATCATGGCATGCACCAGCATATCATGTGACAATATGTTGATACAAACCAAATCTACAACAATCTGGCTAACAACCAACATAGGTCCCATACACTAGATTTTAATCCTAGATCAGTAACACAAGTTTTGACCAAAATCTGAATCCTGATATTATATATGCATTGGGAAAAGAACAAAAAATTTACAGATAACACAGATCTTAAGTTTTCCTAAAATAAAGGGCCTAGCAGAACTCCAAAATAAAGAATAAGCATCCCTGACCACTAAAAAACCTTGCTCGACAACTAAATCAAGATTTATAAGAGCAAAGGCTACTGCATAGAAAGTTAAAGAGTTAAATTTGGAAAATATAAACATTAGATATTCTAGAACACTTAAAAATCATTTTCAATGTCCTTTTTCCTGTTAAAATTCTACAAGTAGCTAGGCTTTCACGTCTTAGAATCAAGACCAAGCTCATAAAGTATTTCATTGCCAACTCATGTTGTATGCTAAATTAAAGATAACAGTCCATATGCAGGTAAAAGTTCTCAAGAAGAATGGGATTTAGAATATGAATTAATGAATGCTAAATGGAAGTGATCAAGCATTCAGCAAAGAGTATGATCATGGAGCAACTACAACATATAGCAAAACTTGGAAGACAGGGAACTTAGTTGCTAATTAGAAAAAAAAAAACTGGCTGTTATGCAGCAAAAGTAATGCAAAATGTTGGTGGCACTTGATCTACATTCCAGTAGAACAGAACAGAAGAAAGAAACAAAAAAGATTGCAATTAGATATTTGCATGGTTTGAACTTTTCATTAGCACAAATGAAATACAGAAGAGAAATCAATAAATAAATAAACAACTAGCTAGCTAACTGAACAAACTGTTCATCTAAACCATGATAAAAGAAGTCAATAGGTCATGATAAAGTAGCATTACAGCCACAAGTCTATCATAGCAAAATTAAAAAGGACAAATATGAAGCATCTAAATAAAATACCTGAACCATTTCAGGAGGTCCCTCGTCCTTTGCCAGAACCCACTTTGTGAGATAAACAGAAAAGAAGAAGCTGATGATACAAATAGAAAACACAAAGATGATAATCGGTGAAGTACTAGCTCCAACATAGAACACGGCTCCAAATATCAAAAGCAAAAGGACAACCAAAACACGGGCATTTATTCCCAGTAACATCCGAAAGATCTGGGGAAAAGATAAAGTAAGCAAAACTAAATTAGAAATTTGGAAGATAAAAGTTGGTTGCCTACAACATAAAGCTTCCAGACATCTTTACAACAGAAGCATAGACAATTCTATCATTATGCTTTATGTATATGTGCATACATCATGTGAATGACAATGAACTATCTACAAGACAGTAAATTGCAAGCAACCACAAGTAGTTCCTTTTGGAAACAGAACATTATATATATTTTGTCACAAAACTACCACGAAAGTGAGGACTACAACACAATTTTAAAAGAGTTCAATGGTAATGGAATCTGTCTAAAACCTCTGATGTAACTTGGCTAGTAAAGTTAAAAAAATCCATATTTCTTTTAGCTAAATTAAAAAGGACAGAGAAACATAATACCAACACTACTCCAGTAAAAGAGTCAATAAATTAGCAAAAGTTAAATAGGAAAATAAACTAAAAGATAAAAATATAATGCAATTCACTTAAACCAAATAAGGGACCTTACCAGTGGATAATGTGATTTGCTCCGCATGCTGGGGAACGTCCTTGGCCTCTCCTGGTATGACCCCATCCCATTTTCCATCGCATCATCCATCATAACAGAATGTGAAGAATTCACCCTCCGGGCCACAGGGAAAGGAGCAAACTCCCCAACCTGGGGTAAGTCGCTCCCAGATGCTTGTCGCTGTATTTTGAAAAGCCTTAACTCACACGCCCTAAGGAGGGGCTCGGATCACAAAGTCAGGAACCAAAAGCCGTTGCGAAGTGGCTTAATTCAAACTCAGAAGTCTAGCTTGTCTCCTACCAAAAAAAAAATCCCACCAAACTCAACACTTTGAACCAAAGAGGGAAAAAATTTTCAATCACTAACCTATTCTAAAGATGTACAGGCTACAAGATAAATAAAATATTAAATGCAACGTTCAGCAAAACGAAAGAAAGTAAAAAAAAAAAAATCCTTTTTCTGTCTTCTTGATGGAAATCTTTCGATTCGGATCTCACATGCCAAAGAAATATTCGGACGGATTAGAATCGTCCCCTTACCATTTTGATTGGTATCAGTGTCTTCCCTGACCTATTTCAAAGTTTCACCATAAAAAATAGGCAAATATCGTCGTTCCTTCAGTCTTTCCCGATTCAAAGATCCACAACTCTACCATTCCCAATTATCCATGAGCGGAAAACATACATCAAAGGGATGTTACACGTTTCCCCTAATTTCTACTCGAGAGATCCAAGAAAAGCTGGAAAAAAGAAAAAGGGGAAGAGAGAGAGAGAGCGAGAGGATTTAGAGGAAGATGACAAACCCAAACGACACCGATCGAGCACGCCTCCTTGGATTTCGGCCGGATCTCAGCGGCTAACCAGCATCCCCCGGCGACGAGTCCTCGGATCTTAGATTTCACGGAGAGAGAGAGAGAGAGAGAGAGAGAGATTAACCCACACCAAAGAAACGGCCCGCACTAATAGTATTGTCCTCAGTGGAAAAAGACACTTATGCGAGGGCTTTTGTGGAAAATACAATTTACCGTGGAGGCAGACAACAAGGACCGGTTCGGCAGTGTTTTTGTTGCCGACTTTCTACTTTTCCCAACGAAAACTCCACGGCCGAGGCTTGCGTATTGTTTGTTTTCTGTTTTTGTTTTCTGCTTAACCATTTGTTTATCCCAATACTTTAATTTCGAAAATGGTAAGTAAACGATGTCGGATTCCATGCATTCATCAGTCTGCAGTTACTTCCATTGTAATATAACCACCAATTTAATTATTGTCAAATTTGGTAGTCACTCTGATTTTATAAAAATTATCCGACCTAATTTATTTTTCGGTTTGAATCAATTTTCTTAGAGTATTGTCTAACAAAAAAAATCACTAAATATTTAATAATTAATTTTTTTTCTTAAGAATAAAAGATGTTTATATGTCTCTTATTTCACTTTTAGTTCGATTCAATTCTCGTATCCATTATCCTGTAAAAATTTATAGTGAGGATTTATCTGATAACATTTTTTTTCGACCATCAAATTATATTTTTAAGTCATAAATATTTGCTTGATTTTTCTTTTTTTTAATCATATAGACGAGGTTATTGTATAATCGACAGTTTGATGAAGTTTATTATAAATAGTATGAATAAAATATTAGATATGATATGATCATGGACAATTCGATAAGATCAATAAGAAGTGTTCTAGTGTTTCTTGAAATCTTGTATGGATAGATCATAGAAAGTATGCAATAATAATAAATAAATAATGTCATTCGCTTAACCACGTTGAATCATTCATTTGATTTGATAGTCGATGAATTGAGAGACTTGAAGCGTAGAGATATGTATTTTTGTATGCGTTCGTGCATTGCTTGTATAGAAAACTAATATCGTGTGATTAATTATTACCTCCCAATTGGTCCAAACAAATTGGGTTTGTTGTGATGCCTCACGAGTTTATCCACCCTTTGAACAATTCTAATAAAATCCTTTGACTAATTGTTTATGTCAAGGTTTTCCCTAGAGATATCAATAAAGAGGATTAATAAAATCCTTGCTCGATATTAAGGGGGACGACTCCTGGTGTCAATTTGGTTGACGACTAAAATGACCTGTCTGTATTTTCCCTTCTTTACAAAATTCTTTCCTGATTTATTTATTTATTTAAAGAATAGAGAAAATATATTAAAAAATATATTAGTGAATAATTAAAATAGGTATAATTTAGATAGAGGTTCAAACGAGAAAGAATATTTTATGATGATAAGAGTAGGTGAAAAGAAAACCTGTAAAAAAGATGTTAGATAATTACCATTAGTGATATGAAAAGAAATATGAGGAAACTTAATTTCATTAAGAGTATGATTTTTGAAGTAATTGTTGGAGTTGGTTGTTTAAACAAACAGGAGGCCTGATCAAAATTTATAATCATCCGTGATGTGCACAATCCACACCGCACTTTAGTACAAAGCAATGCGTGAAAACAAAGATTGGGGTGTCTCTTAATTGTGACTTGACCTGTGTTGGGTCACTTAAGGCGAATAGTTTCCATGTTTTGATGGACTTCTTTGATCGAGCAATTAATTAAATTTAAAAGCGAAGAAATCTTCTATTTCTCTGTCTTCTTCCGTTGACAATTAAACCAACCCACCACCAACTCTCTCGTGTACTGCTGTCCCGTTCCGCCCGAGACAAAATGCACCGGTTCTCATTGCTTTAGCCCTTTATGTTTAGCCTGTGACGCGATGACGTGGCAGCAAAACAACGGTAGTGACTCTCGTGGGATCTACTGTCGCTTGCTCTATGGGAAAGCGGAGGGGGGTCGAGGAATTCCACGAACCGGAATGGCCAGGACGTGTACATTATGGCGTAAAATTAAAGCCAGCACGTGGGATGGAATGGGATGATTAATAACTGGTAGGGTAAGATATATGTACTCTAGCATATAGATATATGTTTCACCATAAATGCCTTTAACAACCTAAAATGCACAGAATGTAATGTTATTAATGAGTTCGCAATCGTACTTATTATTTCATATATTGATTAATAATCAAATAGAGAGCTAACGATTAAAAACAACATATGGAATCACAGTTTTCTTTCGCTACGGAATATGACATTGCTAAGGTCAAAAAAAATACACAAACGTTTACATTCAAAGCACATAAACTGATGGATCGTCGGTGCGCACAGGACTCAGGGGAGAAAGAAATCATGATGGGATTCAGGAACAGCCAAAACACCTTCTAATAGGAGCAACCAAGAAATCCACGAAGCTCGACGGTTCAGGTGTAACTTGAGGTGAGATTTTTGGAGGAAGATGCTTTAGAAATGCTTTAACAGCTCCAGAAACACCATCCTCCGTTTCCATGGCCTTGGCTAGTTGGACAGCATTTTCTTTCACCTGTAAATTTGCAAAATCCACATGCATTAGACTACAAACGGAGACTAAATGATCGATTCACCAAAACTAAGGTTTCCAATAATAAAAATTGCTGTTTCAAAGTTCACAGAATTGTAAAAGAACATCTGGTTCTCATTGCAATTGTAAAAGAACATCTCTGACACCTCCTGCATATGCAGAAGCCTCACCACTGTATTGCAATTGGTAGTTGGTAGTTATCTCTCGCATCTGGTTCTCCTACTAGCCACCATTGTCTTTTACCACAAATCATGGTCATATGTTTTGTCTTATCATGTTCTCACCAAGCACAAATATCAAAATAATCATATGACATTTGGAAAGGCCGATTACTAACCTTCGGTGTCATCATGAACATTATTGCATCAACCAATTTTTCCAGTGAAAATTGATCAACAGGGATAGGTGGGGGTCCCAGTCCCCTGGCATTGACTCGTTCTCCCCAAAAAGGTTGGTCACCAAAGAAAGGTACAATAGTAGTTGGACACTACAAAACCAACGTTATGTAGACAAGTATGTCCATAAGCAAATTTTACGGTCTC